GGGTTGTCTTTAGTAGACGGTAATCGAAGGCATTCTTCGAGCACTTCGCATGCATATCGTTCCATTGAATGCAGGGTGCATTAAAATCCCCCATGAGAACAACGTCTGGTCGACTGGCGATCTCTTTTATGCTTTCCAGTAGTCGAGTGTCTGAATCGGGATCTGCCTGAGGGGGCCGGTAGATAGTTACGACTTCGAGGGACTGAGACCCCCGTGCCTTTATAGTCAGCCAAATTGCCTCTGTGTCGTTGGGAATCTTGTCCGTCCTCTCACACACTGTTAAGTTGCTTTTGACATACATGGCAACTCCTCCACCCCGGCGGCCTCTCCTATCTCTCCTAAACAATTGGTATCCTGTAATAGTTCCTTGAGTGTATTTACCGGAATCCCTATTTCCTGCTGGCTGGTAGATAGAAAATCACAGAGGTAGCCAAGTGTCTCGGTGACCGGAACGTTAGTAAAAAGTGATGAGGCGTCTAGCGAGAACATCACCATGTCGTTGACGTTAAGGTCTTTGATGTCGTCAATGAATTCAAAGGTATCTCGGTAGCTGCGTGGTGCTAGCTGACGCTGTACAGGCTTGAGTTTCTCTGCTAGCCACTTTGCTATCGCATGATACGGAGAGTTTCGCATGTCAAAAATAGGACGGACTGGCAGGCCTTCCTTATGGATTTTAGGTAGGCCATATAGTCGAGGGATATGTGTGCCGACTGGTCGAAGCTGTTCTAGGTCACGGTCGCTTATGTGACCCCCTGTGTGGAGCCTTCTTAGACAGTCGGTCAGTTTCGTCTCTACTTCTTCCGTGCAATCCTTTTCTTTGTCTCCCTTCTTGAATTTCTTCTCGTCTGATAGTATGGACTGTATTTTCGCTACGTAATCCGATCTGTTCATTATAACGACGCCTGCTCCTTTGTCAGGTCTAGTTACCAGGATATCTTTGTTCTTTCGAAGCTCTTTTAACTTTCCCATATGTGCTTTTGTCAGCAATCCCTGACGTTTCGGCCCCTTGTTCAGGTACTGATAACTGCAATTCACCAGTGTTGATTTTAAGCGTTGGATACTGTCTGTGGAAGAGGGCACTAGGTCATAGGTTTGATTCCACAGGTTAACGAACTGAGTTTCCAATTCCAACTGATTAACTTTTCGACGGGGCATGCAAAACTTAGGACCAAGGGATAATGCTTCAAGTGATGTTTTATCAAGTGTCATATAAGAGTGGTTGTGTACGTACAGACTTGGATCCTTCGGAAACCGTGATTGTGGTTTCCTTTCATGTACACTCCTTAGAAGCGCGGAACTTTTTGCCTCTGCGCGTTTTCTTCCTATGGATTGAGTGTCGCTGTCGAACTCTTGTCTTTCGTCGTCTGTCAGGGTGTCTAAGACGACTGTACGTTGACACACGTGACGCTTCAGTTTTTCTATCTTTACGAAGGTACTTTCCAGTTGATTCTCAGCGTATCTTTTCAGGGTTTCTGTGGTAAGAACTGTACGGCTACGCCGCAGCGCTCTCCAGTAGTGGTTTGGATACTCGTTTCTCTCAATGCATTCCCCGATAAACTTGGCCATTACTTTCGCCTCCATAAGCTTGGCGTTGAAACGTAGGTACCCATTGAGTGCCCTCAACACGGCGGGATCTTTGGACTGTTTTAGAGTTGCGAAAATTCCCATAGCAGTAATCAGAAGACGAGGTGGCGAGCATGCGTAGCTTTCGATAAATTCTCGTCGGACCAGTACAGTTATATGAGAACGGGGTAGAAGAAAAACACGTCAGCGATAAGAAAAATCGATAAAAGTTCTACTTAAAATTTAAGTTGAGGAGGAGACGACTAACGGCCGAGGTTCAGTATCAGTATCAGTATATTTCAGGGATAGTAGGTGTGTACCTTTGAAATCCCTATTGGTTACATGCAGAGGGTATATATGGAGGAAATGAAAAGGAAGTAACAAGAAAGAAATGCGAGGGGAATAGCAAAAACTGTACAGATGAACACAGAATGTCATGCGTAAACAGAGTTTAGAGGCACATTAACTTGATTTGTTGGTCAAAATACAGCGGACAGTTGAGGCACACTTAAGACACGGGAAAAGAAGTAAAAGTGTTTAGTCTACAGGCATCGTGGTGAATGCGAACAGCGGTGTGCGACGTGGTCCAAGCTTAATAAATAACATAAACATATATTACTTAAATGTTGGTAGTAGAATCGTTATAAGACTAAATTGCCGGCGTTGGCTGTCAAGGTGGCCATAGTCCGGCGTTATTGTGGTGCGCGCTACAATGCTGATCTAGTCTCCATTTAAAAGTATCTACCGAGCCTGACATAACAGCATCCTCAGGCAAGGCATTCCAAGCTGCAACCACTCTGTTGGAGAAGAAGAACTTTCGGGTGTCTAGCCGGACACCAGCCACACGCAATTTGAGTGGATGGCCTCTCAGGTTAGTCGTAGTCGCCAACTCGAAGAAGTCTCCAAACGCGAGGCAGCAGCCCTGATTGCGCACGATGCGGAAAGCTTGTATTAGGTCCCCACGTAGTTGTCTGTAACTCAAAGGAAAGAGGTCAAGATTAGCTAATCGCGTTTCGTAGGGGTAACCACTGCCCAGATACAAGTTTCGTTGCTCGCCGTTGAACTTTTTCGAGTATGCCCAAGTCTTTAGCGGTCCAGGGTCGCCATGCTTGGATAGCAAACTCCAGATGCGGTCGCACAAAAGTTTGAAAGACCTTAGCGAAGCAGTCTTCATCGAAGGAGGAGAACGCCCGTTTGACAAGGTATAGCATGGACATCGCCGACTTGGCCACCTTTGAACATTGCAGCGAAGGCTTAAGCGAGGTTGTGATCCATACACCCAAGTCCTTCTGGGCGTCGACATCTTGCAGTGGTTTGCCAGTCAGACGGTAGACCGTGTGGTTAGGAGAACTGGTTCTGCCGACGCGTAGGAAAGTACACTTGTTTACGTTGAACGGTAGAAGCCAGTCTTTCGACCATTGCTCGAGGTGGTCCAGACTTGTCTGCAGTCGCGCCTCGTCAACTTCGCTTCGTATGGTACTCCACATCTTTATGTCATCGGCAAACATTGCAATATCGCAATTCAGTTCGTTTGCGCAGTCATTGACGTATACGAGGAACAGCGTAGGGCCAAGAACAGAGCCTTGGGGAACACCACTCTTAACGGCAACCTCGGCAGATTGTTGGTCACCGACGTGGACGGCTTGAGAGCGGCCGATTAAAAAGCTCCGAATCCACATCAGAAGCTTACCCCGCACTCCTGCACGGCTAAGTTTGTATAGAAGGCGGTGGTGAGGCACACTATCGAAGGCCTTTTTAAAGTCGATATAGATGGCATGCACCATATCTCCTCTATCAACAGCCCTAGTCCAGTGTTCCAGACAGTAGAGCAGGTTTGTCACACAGGATCTGCCTTTTCGGAATCCATGCTGAGAATCGGAAAGCAAAGGGTTTTGTTCAAGGAACTGCATTAGTTGTTGCTTTATTATCTTCTCCATAATCTTACAGCAAATGGAGGTGAGGCTGACCGATCTGTAATTGTTCGCAGAGACCCGACTTCCGCCCTTCTACAGCGGCGTAATCCACGCCGACTTCCAGTCGGGTGGCAGATATCCGGTCTCGAAGGATGTATGGAAAAGCATGGAGAGTGGCTTCGACAACTCACCGGCGAGTTCCTTCAAAATCTTCGCCGGAATCTCATCGGGACCTGCTGGTGATTTGGATTCCTTTAGCCTCAGCAACTCCGTCAGAACCATACCCTCCGTGAACTGGACGGTCTCTATAATTGGGGTGTCTTCGAAGGATTGAGGGGCCGAAGGGTTGAATCCTGTTTCGCTACTAAAAACAGACCGAAAAAATTCTGAAATGTGATCAGCTTTCGCCTTGTCTTCAGTGAGATGTTCGCCTTCAGCAGTCCTTATCAGGGGTATTGGGTCCTTGTTCTGCGTGCACTGCCTAATGTAACCGTAGAAGGATACAATTGCATTCGAAATGATCGCCAAGATAGCCGTGGTGGGGGCAGCTGCGTCTACGTTAAGCAAACACTTACATGTTTGCCGTTGGACCTCCCGCACTTTTCAGCGGTAGAAGGCAGCTGCTGGCTCCAGGTTGCACTAAAAAATAAGTTCTCCTTACTCGTTGGCTGCGTCTATCGCCCTCCCAAAGCCAATGACAATTTTGATCGCTTACTCTCACAGGCATTTCATGCTGCGGCCGACTTAAGTTTTAAGTATCAACTGGTTGCGGGTGACTTTAATCTCCCTGAAGTCCGCTGGTCTCCGTCTTCAGGCCCCAGAAGGTTCGATGACTTTCTTGAGGCTGTGGATGTCGGGATGTGGACTCAGGTTGTTGATTTTCCCACCCGAGGCTCAAGTATACTTGACTTAATTTTCTGTAGAGGCTGCTTGCCATCGTCAGTGTCATCCCTAGGCCCACTCGGGGGCTCAGACCATGACATAGTTGTTTCAACGTTGGAATTCGAGGCTGACGAAATGTCGTCCCAAAAGTATAACTTTTTCCGCGATTTCCGATCAACTCGCTCAACCGAATTATTAACACACCTTAATTCCTACGACTGGACTGAGTTCTTCCTTAGTTCATGTAAATGTTTGCACTGCAAAACTGGATCCGCTTATTTCTCGTTTTGTCCCCCGTAAGAAAATTATTAATGTTGGGGATGAGATTTTCCTACCTTTACCCTTTCGTCGCAGATTGCGCAGACTTTATCGTCGTTTCCATCTGCAGAACGATGTTTCTGTTCTGCCCTAGATTTGTGATATTTTTGATCGAGCTAAGAGATTGTCTGAAGAAAAACAGCTAGCCGAAGAGGTCCACTTTACTGAAAACCATTCGTTAAGTGTCTCGAAACTTTTCTCTAGAAAAATACGAACTCAGAGAAAGACGCAGT